TGGTGAGAGGGGTGGTGATGGGGACGTGGGGACACGGAGGTGGTGACAGGGGTGGTGATGGGGACATGGGGGTGGTGACAGGGGTGGTGATGGGGACGTGGGGACACGGGGGTGGTGACAGGGGCCCCCTGTCCCCAGGTACCTGTACGGGAAGCGCCTGGAGGGAACGGCCTTTGTGCTCTTCGGGGTCCTGGTGGACGACGAGAAGAAGAGCATCCCCCAGTCCCTGAAGCGCATCCAGGTCACCCCCTGTCCTTGTCCCCAGTGTCCTGGTGGGCCTTGTCACCCCTGTCCTCTGTCCCCAGTGCCCTGCTGAGCCCTGTCATCCCCACTCCTGTCCCCTTGTCCCCCTGTCCCCTGCTGAGCTCTGCCACCCCTTGTCCCCATCCTCCCCAGGTACCTGTACGGGAAGCGCCTGGAGGGAACGGCCTTTGTGCTCTTCGGGGTCCTGGTGGACGACGAGAAGAAGAGCATCCCCCAGTCCCTGAAGCGCATCCAGGTCACCCCCTGTCCTTGTCCCCAGTGTCCTGTTGGGCCTTGTCATCCCCACTCCTGTCCCCTTGTCCCTGTCCCCTGCTGAGCTCTGCCTCCTATTGTCCCCATCCCCCCTCCCATCCTTGTCCCCATCCCATCCTTGTCCCCATCCCATCCTGGTCCCCATCCCCTCTTTGTCCCCATCCTTGTCCCCATCCTTGTCCCCCTCCCCATCCTGGTCCTCATCCCCCTCCCCCTCCCTGTCCCCATCTCATCCCCATCCCATCCTTGTCCCCATCCCATCCTTGTCCCCATCTGTGTCCCCATCCCCTCCTGGTCCCCATCCCATCCTGTCCCCATCCCCTCCTTGTCCCCATCCCCTCCTTGTCCCCATCCCCTCCTTGTCCCCATCTGTGTCCCCATCCCATCCTTGTCCCCATCCCATCCTGGTCCCCATCCCCATTGTCCCCATCCCCATCCTTGTCCCCCTCCCCATCCCCAGCCCTGTCCCCCTCTCCCCCAGGTGATAGATGGGGATGGGGAGGCCGTCCTGCCCATGGCCGTGCTGCGCCAGCGCTTCGCCAACCCCCAGGAGCTGGTGGGACATTCCCTCTATGTCACTGTCACCGTCCTCACCGAGTCAGGTGGGCCAGGGGACCCCGGGGGACGGAGGGGACAGCAGTGACACGTGGGGGCTTGGGGACAGTGGGGATGAGAGAGATGGGGTTGGGGCCATCAAGGATGAGAAGTGGGGATGGGGACAGCAGGGATGGGGACAGCAGGGATGGGGACATCTGGGACCACCCGGGGTCAGATGGGGCTGTCCCTGGTTGGGGGGGAGCCCTGACCTGGCACGGGGTGACCCGGCCCTTCCCGTTGTCACCGCAGGCAGTGACATGGTGGAGGCCCAGCGCGGTGGCATCCGCATCGTGACGTCCCCCTACACCATCCACTTCACCCACACCCCCAAGTACTTCAAGCCTGGGATGCCCTTTGACCTGACGGTAACGGCACCTGGGGACAGGGCTGGGGACAGTGGTGGCACCGGGGGGGACCCCCTGTTGGGCGTGGGGACCCCCAAGGGGAAGGGTTGGTGGGTGGAGGAGAAGTGGGGAGCAGGGTCCATCCCTGTGTCCTGTCACCTGGAGAGCACCTGGGGGTGGCAGCAGGTGACACGGCCCTCCTGCCACGTCCTCATGTCACACCCTGTGTCCCCCTCCCCAAACAGGTCTATGTCACAAACCCTGATGAGTCCCCAGCTCCTCGTGTCACCGTCCAGGCTGATGGGTTCCAGGGGTTGGTCTCCACCCAGCGTGATGGCACAGCCAAGCTGGTCCTCAACATGCCGGCCAACAAGGACAGTGTCCCCATCACTGTGAGTGGGGACAGGTGCCAGCGTGGCCTTGGAACTGGGGTGGCCATGGTGGTTGGGGACAGGGGTGGTCGGTGTGACCTTGGGGATTGGAGTTTCTGAGACCATCAAGGTGGTTGAGGTGCCCAGGGGGACCAAGGACTGTGGCCACCGTGGTCACCATCCACTGGGACACCAGGACGGTCTAGACATGGGGGTTCGGGGGCTCACCTGG